ACCAGTCTTCTTTCGACGCACTCGAATAGACTTGTCTTTGCTTACCGGGATCAGCTTGCCATTTACCCACTCCTTGTGCCAGATGTCCCAGCAGGTCATGGCGGCCCCACGTACATTCCGTCGAGCTCGCATGCAGAGGAAAATTGGCCCGGCCTTGTTGCAGTCCTTGCAGAAGTACGTCGTGGTGGATGCGCGCTTGTTTTCAGGTCGTAGAACGGAGCACACTTTACACGCGCGCTGGCGACGTTTGGCCTGCGTACCTTCGCTCCGCCATTCATCACTTTGGAGAGCCATGTGCTCGATTGACTGGGAGATGCCGATAGGAAGCGGGTCATAGCTTGGTAAAGAAGCAGGAAGCTGCGTGCCGAATGTGTTCCCTTCATACATGTCCGTAGGTTGGAGCTGGCTAAGCTGGAGGTGAAGTTTAATCATGTACTTGACGTGTGTGAGCGGGCGCGACTCTTTGTTCTTGTGGTAGGCTTTGTGTATGATATAGCCGTTAACGATTGCCATATCAATCAACCCCAGCACTAGCGACTTATAATACTTCTTGAAACGGAGTGCACGCTGCAGCGAGTAGCGCTGCAGCCGCAACTGGTCGTGGACATCCACGCCACCCATGAATGCGTGGTAGTCCTTCACGACTCGAGGGCAGGGCACCTCAACTTGCTCGGCTCTATCTTGCCGCACCACCCTATCGATTTCAGGGCTACCACCAATACACAGGAAATGTACTGGTCTTGAGTCCCACCAACTAATTGCCTTCATACTCGGAACGAGCTTTGAGCGCGCGATTTTAAACGACCCCCGTGGAATTGTCGCTGGACGGGTTTTCTTTTTCTCAATCACTTTCTTACAGTAACCAAGACGATTCGTCATGATAGTACCAACGCAATAGAAACCCATAAGCAGAAGCTGTATAGCCAATGCCACAGACGTGTAGAAACGGTCAATCACCACGAGCCTCATCCCTTGCTTTTTGGCGTCAGGACCAAACACTTCCAGCAAGTTACGCACTACTGCTGCTGGACCCGACTTCATATCCGGCTTATGCGCATCGCTGAGATGCTGTTTCTTGCCACAATAGACTTCAAAACTGTCGATATGCATCATAAAAAAATATTCAGTACAAGATGCATAATTCAGTTTAAAAAGTCTTTACAGCCAAAAAAAACTTACCGAATGCAGTAAGCCGCAACCGCACTGCACAACATAAAAAGCTTTGTGCCCCACTTGTGGGGCTTGTCTTTCATGTAGACACGCATCTTGTTTAACGACGATCAGCTTGGCAATACAGCTTCATCAAACGCTAGGTGAGGAGGGCACACGTAACCCCGCAAAAACGTCTTCTGCAGCACCTCCACAACTTTCCTGATCTTCCATGCGCGATCAGTCAGCGCTTGGGGGTCCCTATTGGAATTGAAATGGAGGTTTCAAAAGATCTCCATAAATCTGTCTCGCGAAAGAACAGAGCCGAAACACCCACGAGATATTGCGCCAACATCTGCCGTCTTTCAGTGATTTGTTAGCTTCTCACGGTTGGGTGCAATCGTTCTTGCCACTAGTAACCCGAAAAACCGACACAGTTCATGCAACCATCTCTGCCTTTTCGCAATCATCATCTACGACAAGAAAAAATCAATACAGCTTAGTATTCAGCTCAATATGCAGTTTGGTATGCATCCGAATAGGCAAGACAATAGGCAGCTGAACATGCAGTACAATATGCAGCATATAGATGTCCAATATGCAGTACATTATGCACCACACAATACAACATACCTTGCTCCGGTTCGCTAGGAAAGTACGCTGATTCGACAGACTCATTGTCGGGAATTTGTGTGTCGTCATAAGGCGATGTTGTGTCCGAGTCTTGTACATGAGGTGACGTTACTATTAGCGGCTGAACAATAGCTCGTATCGATCGAGGTGGCGTAATAGCCATTGAACTTGCGCTGCAAATAGGAGACCGCCTTGCTGGACGCTTACCTTTTGGTTTGCGAATAGTTGGAGTAGGCGGTGATGGAGTTGTTGGAATAGGAGCTTCATCAGTACACACCGTCGTTGTAGCAGGAGCTTGAGTTGTTGCAGTATCAGCTTGGGTTGTTGCAACATCAGCTTGAATTGCTGCAGCACGTGTTTGGGTTACTGCAGGAGATTGCATTGCTGGTAAGGGGGCTGCAGTAGATTGAGCTCGAGCTTCCGCGCCCAGGATATCAGCAGCGTACGTTTGGCGTACGACTTCAGCAGCTGCCGCCAGTTGGGCATCTCCAGGTGCCATATGCGGAGTAGCACTCGGTAGAGGAGCATGAGAGCGCAGCACTGTAGTCATTCAGCATAATTAGTTTACATCAAAATGATTAATAGAAGCAGTACATACCGTTAGCGTAGTATTCAAGCACAGCCTCCTCGCCTCGAAAAAAAATGGACACCTTCAGTCCCAGTTGTGCTTTCACCAGACCGAATGTAGAAATAACGGCCGTCTAAACTGCGTCGCGGGGGTGGCTTGCGCGTCCATCCACTTTTTTCAGCTCCTTCCACACCGATTTAAACGATAAGTCGCGTCCAGTGACTTCAAAGTCACGCAGCACCCTGCCAGCGGCTCTCACCATTTTCTCTGGGTCGACTTGCGCTCTGGGTCCGCAAATTTTCAAATGAGAGAGATTTTGAAAAGGCGGGGCTACGGTCTCTGATAGCCACTCGTGCACCGGCATCCTGCCCGTTGTCTCTGCAAAGTGATGCAAATCAGTTGCAGCTTCCCAAAACCTCTCAAATTGCATTTTACAAATTTTGATAAATGGCGGTCACTCCCCGCGGTGGAAAAAGAAACGCGTGAACAGAAACGCCACAATATTTTGACTTGCGGTTTGTATACCGATGTGTCGGGGGAAAGGGCGCCAATACAAACTTTTAGATTAAATTTGCTTAAACTGCATATATTCAGTTTAAGCCTTCAAATCTAAACTGCATTATGCAGCATCCGGTTTGGAGGTTAAAATAAGTACATTCGAATTTTTAATTAAAGCTATTAATTCCCGGCCTGGGAATAATAAATCTAGGTTTGGTTTCTATGCACTACCAAAACTTATTCAAGGATCAGTCGTATACACAGATATCTCGACAGCTCCACCGACTCGCTTCCTTGAAGAAGCATTGTATTGGCCGTTGAAGACTGATGGGAGATCCACATTCGCTCTTTAGATTGAATAGCACCGAAATGGCCCTAATTTCGCTAAGTAAGGAATTACGGTTGGCACTCGGGTGGTCCATTTTCCACACATTACCTGCTAATTACGCCTTACAAACGTGAACATGTGTTAGGATTTAATATCCAGGCAGCTTTTCATTAAACAGAATTATAAAAATAATTGCACAGTTCATTTCTTGATGTCTGGGAGAAAAGACAATCTTAAAATTGCAGTTTCGTATTCATGCTCCATTCTTGCAACAGGGAGCACCTGCTCAGCAATTGCTTGTTAATATACTGCGTCTTTAGAGGAATCGAAGACTCCCAACAGGTGCTAATCTAAGAGGTGATGTTCGCTTTTGCTTAATGTATGAAGAGGCCAGACCACGTCTCTCTGCTGCTCTGTCACTCTAGGAACTGACGTGGCGGGGCGTCAATGACATCGTCACAGGTAAGCAAAGGGGGGAACCAGGATTGTGCAAGACCCGCGATCAAGAAATTTGCGCAATCGTTTCTTGCAGGGCACGCTGCAGCATCTGATACAGATGCGAGCATGCGCATTTTTTGCTGCGAGGACTTGAACGAATGTGTTCGAATCCCTCGGGTTCGTTGCCGTGCTAGACCTGGGCGAACTCTGGGTATCTGAGTCCGGAATTTGCCAGCATTCTGCCTAGTTTTTCTTGCTAGTGACGTGCCGTCGTGCATTTACAAACATCGGCTTTCTGCAAGAAAAGACTGAAAAGTTTTCCAACGTCAGACTGATAAAAGATCACTCGTGAAAGATCGCCTGCAAGGAGGCCCTTCGGTAACCGAAGTTCGATTCGACTGGCAGCCACTGGCTGGCTGCCAGCCAGTCCCCGGAACATGATACATGTGTACTACTTGCCAGAACTGTGACAGGCACTTTATTTGCTGCCGCACATTTTGACAATAGAATGTGACAATAAGAATTCAGTCTTGAGGTACGGAAAGCGCTGGAGCGTTGCGATCGTCGATGGGAATATTCGACATGCTTGGATGTGTCCGATCTCGACGCAGAGCCATTCGCTGGCGAAGAAGCGATGCGCCTTCCCGGACCTCGAGCGCCCTTCGCAGTTGACTCAACCTGGCAAGTCAAAGCACGCCAGCGTCGTGTTCATCACAGCGCTGGCGGGCAAAGCCGCTGTCGCACACGTCTGCGCTCCACATCTGCTTGGATTATGCTTTGTCTTTCGCGTCCGTGTCTTCCATTTTTTCGCTAATCTTGCCTAAAAGAATCCTGCGCAGACGTTGACAGCCAGCCAGATTGAAACAACCTTTTGAAAATGTTCGAGCTCTTGGCATGAGCAATTCTGTATCCGTAAAGACTGTATTATTGTCTGCCTGACTAGCGTTATCGACAGTGTATTCTGTTGCTAGAGTCTATAATACCGAGCTGCTCCTTGCTACAGAAGTGCATGGAGCTGGCAGACCCAGCAGGCGAATACTTACGTGTGCGTGCTATCCAAATTGAATAGTTAGTACATGCGAGAGAGCGAGACCAGTCCTTGGTCAATTGTTGCCGGTAGCTCGAGCGTTAGCTTCTGTCGTCCCTCACGATGTATCAGTGCCATGCAGAGAGAGCTCGTGCACGATAAGACCTGGCCGCAATGGCGCGAGTGCAACCGTCTTCATGTGCACCCCGCCAACCCCACCGAGACAAACGAATCAGTTGGTCCCCAGCCATTTTTTCTCAAAGAAAAAGCTGGGTTGTCGCTATTGCAAATATTGCGATATTTTTGCCAAGTTTTTTCGTCTGCACCTTTTGCCAGTCTTATTTCTTGATTGACAGGACAGCAGCACCGGACGCGCCTCGGCCCCGCTTGGCCATCGCACCGGCCGCGCTCCAGACGCTCGGGCAACGAAAGATCGCGCATCGGGCCTCGCGCAGACGCAAATCTCGAGGGCAAAGAGCCGCGGGCCAGTCGTTAACTCTAACGCAAGGGCCCCAGGAAGAGACGCAACAGACGTTCCGGCCAGCAGCGGGTGGCCTCCAGTCTGCTGTTAGCCAACGACGTAGGCATTCGGCGGCCCAGAGGACAGTTAGGAAGTCGACGATTTTGAGCGACTGTATTGACTCGTGAGGCTGCCCGCGTGCGGCCCTGATGACGACGCGCCACCGGCAGACACAAGACAGACCCATGGCAAATAGCAGCCAGCGATTGGCGCTCAATGCCAACAAGAACAAGAACTGGAGGGCCAACTACCTACGTGCACTTAACATCTTCACACCGGACTTAGCCACACCCTCGCGCGGTCGATACGGCCCAAATGGAGATGGGGGTCGGCGAACGGCTAATGGACGTGCCGAGACGACTTCAAGTCGTCGCCGCACTGCAGCCACGGCGACGGCTGAGACGACGCGTCGGCCCGAGAGTAACAGTAACAACAGCAGAGGACGATCGTCTGTCTCGGTGTCGACGTCGGCTCGGCCGAGCAGCAGATCCACGTCGTCGTCCAGAAGCAGGCGGGCCACGTCTCCGTCAGAGGACAAGACGTCCTCGTACGTGTTCGGCCTGCGGTCTCATCTCTTCCGGGCGCGAAGACACGCATCCAAGAGCGATCAAATGGTGGTGGACCGCGTGTCTGCACCGATCGAGATCCCCACCGGTTCTTGTATAACCTCGCCGACGGCGATCCCGTCGCATGGGGAGAAGTTGTCGGACAGAAGAGACTCTGAGTCCCGTCGGAGACGTGGAAGCAGCAACGACTTTCAGAACTCAAATGACCCTAAGCAGCCTGTCGTGCAATTATTGTCGTGGGAAGAGCCGTCCATGATGCTCGGGACGGGAGGCTGGCCGTTGGAGAGCAAGAAGCGCTACAACAACGACGGCTTAGCTATCCCAGTGAACAATGGCCGGTCAAGGAGGCCGTATGCAGGCCCCGACGGCATCGCCGAGGAGTGCGAGGACACGGACGACGAAGGATTGACCAACACAGAAGACGACGATGACGACATATTTAAGATGGAGTTCGAGGGCGAACCCAGCGACTCCAGTGCCAGTAGTAACGTATTTAGGGGCAAACGAAAGAGCAAAGATAAGCGGCGTGTGGACCTGCGGCAGCGTCGGCCCGGACGCTTTGACGACTTCGATGACGACGAAGAGACCGATGTGGTGACGCCACTGTCCGCCTCGTTCGTGCCGCCGCACCAAATGGTGGAACGTGGCTGTTTCTCGCTGGGCCTTCGCGATGAACTCAAGCGGAAGCCGGGCATGCGCAGCTAGTTAGTTTAAAGAAAGCTCGTTTGGAGTGTAAGCAATAAAGCTTTCGAGGACGATGCAGCGCGTCCATTAGAAACGCCGAGAAGGGTTGCATGCAAAGTTTTGCATTGAAGTTGCATGGAAACACGTACAGTACGAGTTCTATTTTGGAATGAAAAAAAGATTATACTGGGAGTACCTCAGAATGAGTAATGGACAGGATTAATTGCGTGAGCGTAACGTAAATGGGTCAACGTTCGGACAACATCCAAAATATCGTACTTAGTATGTGATTAGACTGGAAAAAGCAAAAAGACGTTACAGTATTCTTTCGGTTTGTCAATCTGCGCCAGTGGCTCCGTCAGCGGCGACGTTGGTGGCGGTGAGAGCGCAGGCGGCGATGGCAGCAGCGATGTAAGTCTTTATTATTGAGTTGGTTAGTAGAAGAAGTGGAGAAGCAGATGATGGTTTTTTGAGCGGGCTGCTAATGCTAACGTTATTCTTTCGGTTTGTCAATCTGCGCCAGTGGCTCCGTCAGCGGCGACGTTGGTGGCGGTGAGAGCGCAGGCGGCGATGGCAGCAGCGATGTAAGTCTTTGGTTTTTTAGCATCTTTTCGTCCATCCACTGAGCTAATCGGAGCAGATGCATGTGCAGCCGCCGTTGGATATACGTACCAGCAACATCTAGCTCAAGATTTTACGTAAACATGAAGGAAAATGACCCTTACCGTTAAAGTAACAAATTGTTGTTTGATTTGACAAACTGTACGTAACGATAAAGGAAATTGACCATACAGTTGGAATCAACATCAACGGCAATCTGCAATTTACAGTCATGGCAAAACGACGATATGCCAATGCAGCTGAAGATGAGTTATCTTGTACAGGAAAACCTGATGCAATTCAGGCCACTGCAGCGCAAGAAACAAAGCGTCAACGAAAAGCTCAGTACCGCAACGGGACCTCCGATGAAGCTTGAACCTGACGTGAAGAGACGCAAAACCAGCTAAGCGTTGGCAGTTTTGGTTGATACCAAATACATTGCCCAGCCTTTAATTCTACTTTGCTATTGACAATTATGCTAACAACCGTATCAAAAAAAATTAGCCATCTTAATGTTAGCTTTCCGAACCTTTTTTGTCGAAGAATGTCTGGGATCACCTCCCAGTCGCAGGGGGTCCCCCCGCAGAGACAGCAAATGTCGACATATTTTTAAAAATATGTAAGTCGCAGACGATCTAGTTTTACAGTACTAACGGGGCAACAAAAATTTGCTATCTAAACGTGCTAAGGCATTGAGGAAGGAGTCCGAGGTGTCTGGAACCACGAAGTAGGTGAGCCCATGGGCGTCTCCAGACCGCTCTCCAGTATGGTGGAGCCCGAGGCGGATCGGTTAGCGACGTGCGGGATGCGGCTGTTTTGGTCTTGTGCGAATATCTTCTTGCGTCGAGCGAGTCCTTCAGGCAACACTTCGTACACTGCCACGTGCATGTTAACCTGTGGGACCATGTAGTCACAAAGGTAATCGACAGAGTAATCTATTGGCAAGACGTCTTTGTTGGTCATCAACCAGTCGGCAATCCGCCGCGTGATGAGGATCTGTCCGCCAGCTCCAACGTCACTCACTTCGCTTGCAATCACCTCTGACGCTCCGGTGTACACAGTTTTACCCGTGACAGCATGACGACTATGGTGGAGATGTCCGTCGGAACCCATAGCATCGTGGATCCCCATTCGTACACGCAGTCCACGGAAAATAACGCGGTGTCCGGCTCGTCGCTTCTTGGTCGCTGGTACCAGACCGTGAAGCTCTTTAGGCCAATCGGCAGCTAACAACTGAAGCTGGACATGTAGAGAGTACGAAACAGCTTCGCGTATTGTATGGAAGGCTAGTTGAAAGGAATCTCCAGCCGTAGTAATCTCATACCCTCTGTATAGATTCAGCAATGAGCGGAGCGTATCATCGTGTATTTGAATTGCCCGTTGCATCACCTTACCGTCTTCAATACCCCACAACGCACTCGAAGACTCGATATCCGTCACCACAAACACCGGGTTTAAAACAGGAGGCTTCACCGTCTCATCACGATCGTAAATGCACGGAATCTCGTCTCGGTTGGACTCTACCACAAGTTGGACGAGCATCTCATCGGGAATGCAACAGCCGCAGAGTCTCAATGTACACGGTATACTGCAGCCTGTACACAACGCCAACGCAAGACCCGTAGCGTTGTACATCACTTGACTGAGGCCAATATAACTCAATGTCGCCTCGTCACGAGGTGTGTACACATACGTGAAGAGCGACGTGGCCTCGTACTGGAGCGCAAAGAGCGCGTACGCAAGCATGATCCACTTTAACCGCTTGTAGACCGGTGAGGCTTTGAACTGGCCGTTGATTGACTCAACATGTCGACCTTTGCACTTGAGGAGGAAGAGTACCACTCCCATGTACACGAGCGTGATGATCTGCATGACGTAGATGCACAGCGCTAATCGATAGGTATAACTTGAGTACCCACCTCCGATAATACTCAAGACGACCACTGCGACCACAAAGCAAGTAATAAGGCCATGGCCCACGATAATATACATCCGAATTTTGGCCTGTTCCTTGGCGGTGCCTCTGTCCATGGACTTTGCAGCGATTTTCGACAGTTCGTAGATCAGTGGCAACACCCAGAAGGCCACAGCGAAGTGCATGACGTCACAGAAACACAGAATCGTAGTCGGGAATAACCTTCGCGCAGCCTCGAGATCTGTCGTGGCGTAGATTCCTAGCTGGTCTAGTTGCTTGCTTGTGTACGGTACGGCGTTGTTGCCGTCTACGAATTCTTTGATTGGGAGCATGACGACCCAGAGATAATAGCTTGCACGTCCCACTGTGTAGAGCCATAGATAAACGAAGAGCGTGAGGAATAACCATCGAACACTGGACACCCGGATGTCCCAGTCGCGGTACAACTTAAACGAGATGAGCATGGACGCGATGTTGGACAGCAGGATCGACGTTAACCCCATGGAAGCCCATATCATCGCCATGGTCGGTTGATAAATAAACGTGCAAAAGCAAGGAGGTTCTTGTACCCGCGCGCGTTTGCGCAGGTCTCGTTGGCTTTGGTCGAATTTTAATAATGGGGTGGACCAGTTGCAGACAAGATGAACAGGTTTGGGGCTTCTCCATCTGGCGAACTGTATTGGTCTCCGATATTAATAATATCGGTGATGTTGATTCGAACATCCAGGCTTTCGGACACCATCTGGGTGGCTGACAGCAAGTGAGAGAACCCTCGCATTGCGGTGCCACACGACTTACCAAGCGGATACTTCGGTTGGATCATTCTGACTCCATTTAGGGGAACGGCGCAGTGTTCAATAGGTTGCTGGTTGCTTTGCTTTTTGGTGGTGTTACACCTTTTAGTATTACCGGTAATATTATTATAATAATACTTGTCTTAAAAGCGTGTAAATTACTACTGTACCGGTAATGTCGACCACCGAAATAATCATGTCACTCCACTTGAGTGACATATTCCCCTTTCAACTGATTTCCATGCTTGGGTTCCAGTACGTCGTGGCCAAGTCGCGAGAGCTGTCCTCCGTAGTGGAGCGCGAGCTCTCAGCCGCCAGTAGCCGCTCAGTCCCCTTCAGCTCTGTGTCTAGTACCACCACTGGGGAAGTGGCGTCTGAAAACGCTATACCTATTGCGCCAGAATCTCCCGAAGCTTCTGGACGCAATGAAGGTCAGGCATTCATTCGTGCTCAGCAAAAACTACAATCGCAAGCAGTATCCAACCACCAGAAACTCATGCACAGGTAATCAGCGTTTGTGGCCATGCAAGTTGCAAGACAATACGCTAAGTATTTAACGGTATAATAATTTTTTTACTAATGTGTCACTTTTTCCACTAAAGTGGGCACGAACTTGACGCTGCATTGGGTCGCGCCCGGGCCACACTGCAGGCTCAAGCGGCCAGCGAGCAATTCTTAGCCCAGAACTTCCACTTGGTGTCTAGAGTGCGTCAACAGCTCGCAGGGGTCCGGACTCTGGTGCTCAAGCTGGCCAAAGAGGCCGACGAGGTGGAAAACCTGTTAGTACAGCACTGCGAGGAGAACGCGGCCCGCCAGAACGCCGAGTTTGCGGCCAAACAGCAGCAAGAGCTCGAGAAATTCGAGACGCAGATCGCTCAGGAGTCTGAGGGCCGCAAGCGCGAGTTGCTGGAGATGCGACGCCAAAAGTTGGCCAGTGCCTTCATGAACGACCTCCGCACTTATCAGACGCTGGTGGCCCATCATGGAGACGCGGCCGCCACTGAGGCCAGGATAGTAACAGATGACAAGGAACTAGTGACGCTGGACGAGGTGGACCTGGTCGTTACGGCCGATCCGGACCAACTGGAAGCGTTCTACGAGTCGGGGTCGGGACAGGATGAAGAGGAGACCCAGAGTCCGAAGTTCGCATCGCCGCCTATTCCGAATGAACTGGAGGAGGAAGAGGAGAAGGAGGAAACTGATGCGAAGACTGGTGAAGGAGAAATAAGCAACAAAGGCGATATTTATGCCAAATAATCAAACAGGATTTTGTTTACCAAATATAACAAAAAGCATATTCTTATGTAGAATATTTCTTCTGCAAGTTAGATTTGACGCGTCGCTTCAGAATCTTCAACAGAATCAGAATCAAAGATCATGGAAGCGAAGAAAGGAGCGGCCGTGTCCGAGTCGGAGCTAAACAAGGTCAGCAAGGAGCTACACGCGACGAAGGGCGCTCGAGAGCATTCAGACTCTCTCGAGTATGACCCGCAGGTGGCTGAAAAGCTCAAGACACTGTTCGAAAAACACGATGGTGACATCAAGACCATCTTCGAGGTGAGAGTCTTGCTACACTGTAGTCCGTAGTGACGAATATCACTAAAGTAGATTCTTATCAACATCGTCAGGAGCTGGACGAGAGTCCACGTAAAGCGCTAAAGCATCCACCTACATCGGCAGCCGAGTTCGGCAAGAAATACGCTCAAGGTTTCTACACGATGGCCGAAGCCAAGTAAGACACGCAAGAAACGCTTGAAAATGAAGCGAACAAGTGCGCTCTCTATGAGTTTAAATACACAATCCATGCAACTATCGCTTAAAAAGGTTATCCACCTACTTGTTCAAGTATCCCGGCACTATCCGCATCTTTTGGAGTGTCCTCTGTTCTGACTGCGCCTTCAAAAAATGAGGTTACAGTTGCATCTTCAGGCTTGGTAGAGGGCGTCTCTGGGTTCTCTGCAATTGTAAGAGCACGTCGAGACGCTGCCACGAGCTCAGCCACAGCGAGTCTGTACTTGGCGTTGGCTTCGATAGCGTACGTCTTTACGGGCGCTTGGATCGCTTCCCATGTCCTCATCGGGTCTCCTGCTTTTCGGTGGAACCCATTGCTCGTAGTCTCCTCTTTCCAGTACCGAACTAGCTCGGATGGACGACTAGAGTCGCGGCTGAATCCCACCTTGGCGTCCGGACGGAACTTCGGCCCTACGGACTTACGGAAGACATCGGTAAACTCCGGTAGAACCACCTCAGTCGGTACTGGTCGAGCGGATAGCGGAGCCTTGGGTACGGTGTCAATTGGTGGCGCTGGCTCTGCTGCCCACGCTGTTGACACCACTGAAGACCGTTGCACTAAGAGCTCAGCTCCGTTCAACCCATCTTCTTTATTCGTCGGTAGAACGGGAGGGCTTAAAGGGATGTCCGTAAGTATAAGTTCTGCTGCAACTTTAGCAGACCCTTCAGTTGGAGGTCTCTGAGCTGGTGGGTCATCAGATGAAGGCTCGGGTTTAACTACATTTTTCCGTCTTCTAAAGCACGAACAGCGACATCGACAGAAGCGGAACAGTGGTCGTAGACGACTCCAAATTGCCAGGAGAATACGACCCACCGTGTTGCGTAGAACCGGTAAAAGAACTCGCACCCAAACAGCGGAAAGCAGGATACCAGCAAGCACCAATACGAAGAGGAAGAACATGAGCATCACGTTCACATGGAGAACTTTGACGATGAAGCCATTCTTGCCTAGTGGGTCAAATGTAGTGGCTTGTGCGACCAGCTTGTTGTACATTTCTTCCGTATCTGTGGCACCGTCCGTACTAAGCCCAAATAACTCAAACACCCAGCCGAGTTTCAGAGTTGGGGCCTTTAATAAATCCGTGTTGCCATACATCCAAGAAGAAAAACCCAAGTGAGCTACCAGCGCCCAGGGTAATAAACCCAGGACAGTTTCACCCAGCGCTTCATCGTACGCTGTTTTGACACTGTAAAGCCACAAAAGTGACAATTTGTCGATCCAGAATGTTGCGGTACACGCTAAAGTTGCGATAAAAAGTAACACCGGAGAGCCCCCGCAGAACACCAGCGTCACGAAGACCGAGTTAAGGACCATAGGATATCTAACAGCCAAGTCGAACTTTGGTCCAGCATACAGCTGATCCATTTTCTCTTGTGTCCGTACAGTCCGACGTGCTAGACAGCGCTTTAAGGGGCTGATTACACACAGTTGCAGCAACAGTATGCATTGCGGCATAATGGCATTGATCAGCATAGTCATCGTGACTCCCATGCCCACAGTCGGGTACCAGTCTCGCTGGAAATCACTGTATTTGCCTCGAAAGAGCTCTCCAAGAACAGGAATGGCACTGAGTGATAGTGCAGCGTTCACTACAAGCACAATGATGGCAGTGTTGAGAAATTGCGCTGCGAACATCTTGAGAGCCACAGCTGAGGCTTTAGCTGACTCACTAGTATGTCGCTCGAAAGACGCAAAGCCTCGTAATGTGGACTTGAGCACGATGTTGACAATGACCACGACAGCGGAGGCGATGACAATAAAAGCATTTTTGGCGAGAAAATCGGTCAAAAAGCCACGACATGGGACATATGTGTTCCACAGTTCTTGAGGGCCATCGATCACTCCAAATTCCGCGATACTGGATTGAAGTTGGGCAGTGCACAGACAATAGAGAGCATGACTCGCCAGATACGTCTCGCAGTCTTCACCAGTTTCTTCGCGAGCAGCGCCACTAAAACATGCAAGCGTGTTGCATTTTGTGTTCGATTTTTCGGAAACACACGGATCTATACAACGATGTAATTCATTGACAGGAGACGTAGGTTTTTCCACCGTGATATCGTTAAAAATTCCATTCGAATACGCAACGTGGTAGCGCGTTTCGCCACTATCTCCCGGTGCGCATGTAGCGTTAACGTCCCACTCGAGGCTCCACGTAGCTTTAGCATCCAGAAAGTCAGGACTGGCGTAGAAAATCTCGGGTAAAGTGGATTCACAGAGTCCAGCGGGAGGTGCCTTATCCTTGAAAGTCTGCTGTGCTGACTGCGCTGCAGAGATGATAACACCCGATAGAAGTAAGAGTAGAAACGTCACTGCGTTCGTAAAACTGCGGCGGAGTCGTCGAGATTGAGCTGTCACTTCGAGATTTTCCCATAAAATATTTGACGGTTCGGGTGCTGCAACCACTGTAAGGGGAAAATTACCGTCGCGAAAACGTAACGTTTTCGGCTGAAATTTACGTGGTAGCCATTGGTCTGACCGTCGATAGTCTTGAAGACATCGACGACGCGACTCGAGGTTGTTGAAGACGACAAACGCGCACTCACAGGCGTTGAGATCGAACGGTTTAGCATCTGGAGCTTTCTTTTTCTTCACTGTCTTGGCTTGCCCTGGTGTACAAGTATTATCTGCAGCTGCTGCTTCCGCTTCTTGCTTCTGTTGCTCCTGCAGTTGTTTATTCGCTTGTTTAAGTGCTTTGAGTTTGCTGGTCTTCTTGGTCATCGCAGCTTGAAGTCGTTCCAGCTTTTTCGTCGTGGCCTGTAACAACAGTTCGTCGGCCTTTTTAAACGTCGATTTCGGCTTCTTGGGGTTCTTTTTTCCTGGAGGTGGTGCCCAGTTCTGCAGAGCAAGTTCAGCCTGCTCCTTCTCTTGCGTGAGGATACTAACGAGAGCTTGGGCCTCGGAGATCTTACGAGTCAGGACTTCCATGGCCAAGAACGTTCTCAATAATCCGCCAGTCGGGTGAGCGATACTTACTTCGGCGATCCATGTACCCAAGTACATGTGATGCTCTTCCTGCTTGGCCACACTGTCATCAAGACGCGGAGTTCCTGGTGGCCCCGTAAGTGGCCTTGACTGGCCCACCGTGCTTGGCCTGGCCGGGCTCAGTTTGCCATGCTGGTCGACCGTACTTGGTCTGGCCAGGCCGGCCATGCTCAGTCGTGTTTGGCCTGTGACGGGCCGCGCTTGGCCGAGGTCATCAGGTCGCCAAAGATGTTCTAGATTGTTGACAACATTACAATTGACGGCTTCTTTGGACAACGAGTGCTTGGTTCGACGTGGCCGTCGTCCCCAGCAGCAACCAAGCCACAAGGGATAGTATATCTCCTCTTGAGTCGGGTCATAGCGTGAGTTGAAGTGCTCTAACACCTCTCGAGCTGTAGCGTCCGGAGGCAAACCACGGACGAAGACCGCGTACTTGGCCGGCGTCAGGTGTTCGTTCTGATGAGCGTCAATCGCACGTCTGGCGTGGCGACGGAACAGAAGATACACGATGAGGAAGACGAAAGAATAGATCGCATCGCTCGACGTCACGATCCAAGCCACTTTCTGTGGGTCGGTTGTGAACGGCGTATTGACGGTAGCGCCGGTACAGTCGATTTCTCCAATGGGGAGACATTGAGTCGGGTCGCTCGCGATGTCTGGGTTCACGCCCTGGTTTCCTAGTGATGCGTAGGCTAGTTGTAGTGGATCTACCATCTTGGCCGTCACACCGTCACCGTAGTAGTTGACTATAATGGCCGGAAGCGACACGATCCCCATCGTAAAGAAGGCCCAACTTAGATACTTGATAAGCAAGAAATACAGCTCCATGCCGATACCTAACGCTGCGATGTCGTTCATATTAGCGTCGAACACAGATTTGTTGCCTGCTGCGAGACGGTCGAGCTTGGCTGTCGCAGCGGCTCGCTTAGCCATGGCCTTGTAGTCTTTACTACTCAAGGAGGCGGCGCGAGGTGAGAGAGGTCGAGCCGATTCAGGTCGCTCCTCGATGGTAGTATCAATACCAATAATCAGGACTGGGGTTTCGACGGGCTGTTCTTGTACGCCATCGTTGATAGTAGGCGGCCTCGGGGTCGTCTTGGTAGATCCTGACGGTGAGGCCTCATTTCGAGCTGTTGGAAGCCTCGAAGTTTGAGAATTGTCTCGAGCTGTAGGTTGTCGAGAAGTGGCTTGCTTTGAATCTAAATTTTGAGGCTCATTTCGTGCTGTAGGTTGACGAGGAGTTGACTCTGTTTCTGACGCTATCGGAGAAATGGGTAGTGCCTGTAATTTCACGGGTAGATGCGTCGTATTACTCAGCAACCGCTTCTCGTCAATCTGGATCGGTGGAGGAGTCTTTGGACGCTCGATCGCTCCAGTCTCGGGGTCATCGGGCACGACAAGTGTTGGTAGCCCTTCCATTGCCGCTTATAATCCGCGGAGCCGCGTGCGTTCAATGTTTGTGCTGGTCTCCTGTTGGTTTCCATCCGGTTTGGTCTAATTTTGACAATATCCGCCACAAATTTAGATGATATACCCCCTCGGGATCTTGGGACTGCGCTGCTCGAAGCGTCGCACAAAGATAAAGCGCTCCCCTCGTCCCGGCTCACTGATTGTTGATTCATGCCTTGCCATCACGCTTAAAGCTCGATGATTCAACATTGAATATTCAACGTAACTTCGATGAGGAAATTCCTAACCGTGAAAGAGCAGGGTATTATTTTCCGGCTGCGTTGGGACGGGAGAATGGGGTGATGAGAAACGACTAAAACGCTGCTCTACTGACTCTAAACCGTTGGCTCGATCTACGGTGCCAGCAACCAAACGGTTGGTGACCTATTCTAAGATGGTTTTCGGCAAGCGAAGAGCGCAAAGACGATTCACCACTCCACCTGAGCAACACAGATTTTAGGACAGACTCAAGGCAACGGTGTCCTCGTCCCAGTCGACATTTATTCACGCGTACGTCCAGCGTGCATCAAGCGGGAGTTGGCATTTAAAATTTCACTCTGTACTGATGATTTGGGCGGTGCTGTGCATCACCGCTCTGGCATTATCGGCTGTGGGGACGGCATTGCTCGTCTTCAAGCTGTATCGCGACTGGGACGTCCGCGCTTCCAGCGTCCAGTGGCTGTTCGCAATCTTTTTCATTTACCAGTGCATCGGCGCCGCAGCCAGGTTGGTCTACTTCATTTGGCTCGCTGTTTACACGACGCAAACAGCAGATACGGACGACGATATCGGAGGAACAAATTTGGTTGGAACGGAGCTATATCAACTTGGAACAAGCGCCGTCCTGAAGCTACGAGATCAACAAAGTGGCTGGGTGACTGCCGCCATTACTGTCGGCGACACGACCCACTTTGGCCTCGCCATTTGGATGTTCCTGTTGGTTTACGAGCTCTCGAAACTCGTTGCGGTCTCCATGGACCGAGGAGATCAACACGAGCGAGCCAAGATCCGGGTGTACGCTTGGGTCGGCCACTTGCTCATATTGCTATTCCTCGCTGCCGACATCGCTCTGGCGGTCGTTTTTTCTGGTTACTCAAGCTACGCGTACATCATGCTCTTGAGCGTCTACGTTCTGCAGACCATTGCACTAGTTTATATGATTGTGACGGTGGTATTTCTTCGAGTCAAGGGCCGTAACTACGAGAGTGTACATGGAAATTTTGAGGCTTCTCCACTGTACCGGCGACTAAAGTGGATCATGCTGGTGTATGCGTTGTTCGTTTTCCAGTTCTATTTCTCGTCGGTTGTCATGTACGCAGCGCCAAGCAAGACTATGCGTCTTTCGAGTTATGCTGGTGCAAGCTTTGTGTTTTATTATCTACGCGGATTTGCTCTCTCGATCGTCACCGGTTGCAGTCAGCTCTGTGTCGTACGAAGCGTGCGCTGTTGTGTTCCTGACGATATCAAGGCGAGATTTAGGCTACGTCGGGATTGCACACCGCTGCCTCGAGGATCCGATGTACCCTACACCAACCCAGTGTTTGTGTTCACTGATATCGAATCTTCAAGTGCGTTATGGGCAATAGGAGACGGTCGGATCATGCAGGAAGCCACTCAACTTCACGATGACATTCTGCGGGGGTCACTAGCTCCGTACCGTGGCTACGAGATCACTACTGCAGGAGACTCGTTCCAACTGGCATTCCATACAATCCAAGACGCCGTGGAGTATTGTCTGGAAGTACAGCTTCATCTACTCAATGCGAAATGGCCAAAACATCTCCACGGACTCGTACCAGCTACCCGAAAAGTTCGGGTTGGGACTAGGACGATATTTCATGGACTACGCGTCCGAATGGGTGTCCATGACGCAGTGAGCTCTGAAGGATCGCTCGTTCGAGACGTGCATGCAGTGACCGGCAAGTTGATTTATACTGGAGCTTCGGAGGCTATTGCCAATGAGCTTGGAGATTTGGGAACTGGTGGACAGATTCTAGTTACAAAGCGCATTGCTGAGTGGCTCACAGATAATTCGACGCGGCTTGCGGTCAAGTTTGTAGTTCGACCTATGGGGGAGTACCCCATTCCGCGGCTGCATACTACGCTGGAGGTTTTTCAGGTTGTACCGAAGTCATTGGCAGCGAGGCTTGAAAGTTTTCACCCGCAGCATGTCGTAGACATCGAACGAGAAGAGTTGCGACTTGGCACTGAAACTCAAACGCACTACATGTGCATCCAGACGCCGACTGGAGACCGAAGTGGACTGTATGATATTAGTGAGGAAGGCTCTTGTTGAAAAAGGATACTGCAGTTATTTATTCCACCATGGAAATGTACCGCAAAGTATAATATACATTTGAATTGGTACCGTGAAATTTGTTGTACCGGTGTGCGGACTCGACTTGCTGCGTGTAATCGCGAACAAGGTCACTTGAGAAAAAAAAACAATTGTGAACAACGCATCATTGGTACACGACGTGTACTACACGTACGGCTGACAAATTCGTGGTCCGTGTAGTGAACTTACGCATCATTTATACCGTACCAATGGTACGTACGGTTGACACCTTACTCCGCACCCCCCCTTGTTTAGAATTTCAGTGTGCAGGAAATGCCGCTTTTTTGATAATGCAAGGTTCCTCTAAGTGCATTTACGGAACCTCGTCCACCATCGATCGCAAGGAGTCGCTATTATCGCTGAGCTTAAACGACGATAACGCACGCTCATCAGAATACATGCACAGTATTACGAACACTCACAACTCAACTTGAAAATCTCACCATAACTTTCAAGAAAATCTAAAGTTGAGAGTCCCAGTACCATGTACCGCGTAATCGTTGGATTTCTGGGAGTCTCACGGAACGTGGAAGCAGCAAAAAGGTGAAAATGTTGATGCTGGTTTTTGGCAGCCAACTTGTAGAATTTCTACAGCTGAGAATTTTTATAACGTTAGAATGTGCACAGCAACACACCACAACCGACCACATTTCATAGAGTTTTTCGAGCCGGCTTCCACTGGAAGGACGCACCGAAGCGAGTGGAAGGCAGCGTGTCGTCCGTGTCGAACTCTGCTGCTGCAAATCATACCCCTATTTCCATGTTGCAAAGTTGTATCGGCACATGTAGGACACGCTTCCTCCAAGGTGTTTCGAAGTGAAAATGGAGTAAAAGCCGCTAGTTCAAGGCCACTAATGCGACTAAGTGCTGGGTCCTTTGACATGCGATGCAGCCATATCACTTGGGCATCTTAGTTTTGGCTTCCTCGAACATCCAGCCGTGTCGATTAGCATCTTCAGGTCCTGTACACATATCGCAGAGCCAGGTGCAGAAAAGAGCATCGTAGCTCTAATATATCATGTATAATGGGGTAATATATATCAAAGGCAAATGCGAACAGGTATTGTATTAAATGGCTAGCAATCATTTCGTTACACTTGGTGACAACGCTTTCTTATCGGGTGTAATGCCGTTCAGGGAATCCTTTGTGGAGCTTGAAAATCAGTACGTCAGTCTCGATATCTCGGTCCAAGCAGCACGCAGTCTCCGATAAAGATTCCTTTAGCCATAATGACCTCGTTGCGACTCCTGGTCGTGCTCTTCTTGCTGGCGGTGACCAAAATTCAAGCGTCTAACCTCCGGAACGGCGACAGCTCCGTCCCGGTCCGAACCGTCTCCGACACCACCGGCAGTTCATCCGACAGCTCCGAGCATAGTTCTGACATCGTCACACAGGACTCGCCTTCCGTATCCAGCACTTCCCAAGAATCAACCGATGGCAAGAACATCGTAGTGGAGGAAGAGATCGACGGCGTCAGGGCGTGGGCGCAGTGCGGCGGACTGTATTATCTAGGCAAGACCAAGTGCCAGCAGCACACCTTCTGCAAGCAGTTGAGCGAGTTCATCTCGGTCTGCTTCCCGGAGTTGAGACCCACGGAAAAAGTCATTCGACTGGAGCTCTAGCGATTCCGTCCTTAGCATAGCTAGTGGTGATATGAAGTTATGAAGTGACTATTCCTAATGTTATTGAAGGCAACAGCCTCGCAGTACCATGTTGGTCATGTCGGTTACGGTGCCGGTCATTTCCCTATTTGCCACGATGCAGCTACTCGGCGCTCTGTCCGTCATGGTGGTCGCAACTGCAGGCACTCAAGACTTAGCTGCAGAAGCTCGTGGGACCAGTCCGGATTCTGGAGCTTCGATTCCGACAGCGTGCCGGCAACGCCAGACCCACTTACACCGGCACCGGTAGCGGTAGCGCAACCAATTGCCAACGGCGTCAAGATGTTCGCCCAGTGCGGCGGGATCTTCTACTCCGGCACCACCGAGTGCTACGACCCCGACGCGTACTGCAAGCCACTGAGCATATACAGCTCCATCTGCTCTCCCAAACCCGCCCCGGAAGTCTGACACAGCGCTCTACATCTACTCCAGTCATCTCGGCGCGATCTTGATCTTTCGGCACGTCCGTTGCCAAACGTCACGCTACCGGAGCCGTCGATCTTCTACTTCAGATCCACAAACTTTCCCCCAAAGAAACGTTACTTTCATTTAAACGCTACTTGTTAAACAGCATCTTACGAAAGTCTTCGTTGCTCTTCGGCGTTACCGGTGCAGTGCCGGCAGCAGGTTCGGTCTTGGTCGCATTATCCTTCGCAGCAAGCTTCCGACGCAGCGCACGTGGCATTAAGCTAGTCGTCGACCCAGTAGGTGGGAGAGCGAGTCGTGTAGACGGCTTCACATGCGGCACATCCCCTCCGGCTTTCCGCTGTTGTTTTTGCTTGTGTTGCTTGTCCTGTTGCTCTAAAATATGAGCAATAGAGAAGCGAGAGGGCTTCATCGTCACTTGGTCGCCTAGTTCGGCTTCAAGTGCAATCACATTGGCAAGACAAAACGCAGCTTGACACGACTCGGCTACTTGTACAAGGCCATAGTTCTTGCGTTTGCCATGACGGTCTTTCAATATGGACACGCGGGTGACCACAACAACCTGGCCTGCTGTTTGCATGGCCCGCTGTAGAGCGACTTGCAGCTGTTCCTCTGAAATTTGATCTTTTGATCCGTCTCGGTTCAAGTTGCCGATATAAAGTGTCAAAGGATCAGGCTTCCAGAAACCTTCACGTGAGGTATTTACCGGTGTAGATACCGATGGCTTCGAGCGCTCCACGCGTAGAGGATGGCCGTGGAGGAGAGCTCCGTCCCGTTTGAGGCCTGCCTCGACACCTCCGTCGTCCGTGAACTGCACGTACGCCATCCCACGTGACTTGACGCGCTCTCCTCGTGTCTTGACCACAAGACGGACCTCCTTTAACGTCGTGATGTCCTTAAATAACGCCTCGACGTCTTCTTTACTCGCTTCTTTCGACACGTTGCATAGGAACAAGGTGTGTGCATTCGTCAGACTGTCGTGGGTCTTCTTCTTCTCTGTCTTCTTTGTATCGTCCACGTTCATAGCTGTCGCCTCACTGGCAGCAGGCTTCGCACGCTTAACTTCGCGTTGTTTCTGCGAGGTTTTCGCCTGTTTAACGCCGTCAGCTTTTCGTTTCTTAGTGTTCTTAACCTTCTTATCATCCGAGACAACACTGGGAACTGGAGGGACTTGAGTTCGGTGCTTGATGTGATACCGTCGAGCGCGTAGATAGCTCATCAAGTCTCCGTTTTCCCGCTCAAAGACAAGCCACGCCTCGGCGAGGACCATGGGAGTATCTTTGACACGTTGCACTGCCTCGTTGAACACCATCTTACGTATACTACTCACCGAGAAGACGTTCATTCGTCGTAGTGCATCCAGGTAGGCCATCCACGTCGCTGTCTGGTCTCCGAGAGACGAGCTCACTGTCTTGTTCCATAGCTCTGTAACTTTTGTTACTTTCATTTCTATCGCCGGTTTTGGTCGCGGGGGGCCAGTCGGTGGCAATAGCGTCCAATAACACTTCGCTTGGTAGTCTGCTAGACGTAGTTTGCCCTCCAGGTAGTCCGGGAACATCCGGCTCAGCACCTCCTGACATTTCGAGAAGACGGCCCCTACCACTTGCTCTACTGTGTTTTCAAGATCCCCGTCAAAATCGATAGCAGCATAACGACGGATGGCGTCGCACCACACCAGCAACACATTAAGCAAGTGATACTGATCCATAGGCGGACGTTCCCTGACCAGCAGGTTGGTACTGATAAACTGCGAAATTTCCATTGTAGCGCCCTGTCGCTCGATCTCAACCAGCAGCTCCGTCCAGGCGCTGGAGTCGAACGGCACATTCCGAACCGCTCTCCGTGCGATGGCCAGTTTGTCCTCATTCTTCGATGTCACATCGTCAGGCTCTAGATACTCCAGATAACTCGCCCAGAGTGCGGGGCTTAGACACAGGCTCGCCACTGCGCGTTCATACAGACACACTACAAGTTGCTTCCGTTCTGCTTCACTCGCCATCAACGGCGCAACACGGTGCTTCACAAAGTTCAGATACTGTAACCACGGCTCCTCTGTCCCGGTCGCTGCTGCGACTCTCGTCTCGAATCCTCGCAGTTTCTTCAGTAGCGGTACGAACAGCTTAGTTTGTCGACTGGAAGCGTCCTTAGACGCTACGCTGGAAGTGTTATCCAGTGTGTTATAGGCGTCCCAAGCTCGAAATTCCGACATAACGAGGTCGTTATGGTCCAGTGGCAACTGCATTTGGCTGCAGAATAAAGATCGCAGCGCTCTCTCCTTCTCTATGTCCTGTGACTTGTCCATCTCGTCGTATTTTTCAGTAACTAGTTCCCGACAGAGAGCCCAGATCTCGTGGCCTCGGGCGAAGTGGGCTCCTACTGTGAGCTGTGCATGATTCATGGCGGTTTGCAGCTCTTTATCGTCTCCGTTCTCTTTTACATAACGCAGATAGTGCAGAGTTAACGACACGGACCTATAGTCTCCTCGTGACAGCTCGAAAAGCTTCTTGCTCTCTGCGACGGAGTCTCCTTTGGCACTGGAATCACTGATCCATTGCATGTACATGTCCTCTGTAAGTGGGAACGCCTTCTGGAAGGTCTTATAGAGAGCTGCACGTAGTGAATGGTATGCTTTGAGCTTGATATCGAGCTCGACAGCGTCTGGAACAGTCTCGGATGTGGGCCAATGCCATGCTATGTGCCCAATTGCTGCAGTATACTGGTCATACTGCACGTCTAGAGGTTTCAGTGTATACAGAATCAGATTGGACTCGTCTTGGCAGCATTGCAGCACATCGGACGAAGTTGTGGAGGCCTGTGGGGCGGTGGGAACAGTCGATGTGGCGGTTGTAGAGTCAATCACGTCGGCCTCGTCCAGTACTTCAACGTTAACGCTGGGGGCGCGTGAGGAAGTGGAAGGCAAGTCGGACACGTCCACCATGTCCTCATCGCTGGAGAAGCCCGAAGACGAGCTGTCGTCGCTGGGGGAAGCCGCACCGCGAGCCATCTTTGGTGGGTGGATTGGGGTGGCAAATTTTTATTGAGGGTTTATTCATTTAGGGTTTAAACTGTTTTGCAATATTTATACCGGCAGGTCCAAATTAGAACGACTGCTGCTACAGATTGCTTTGTAGTCCACACTAGAACGCTGTAAAATTTGACAAATTCTTAGCTTCTATTTATACTTTAATTATCGTTTGTGTGAGATATGATGATTCATAGGAACCATTTAGAGTTATCGAGATAATCGAGCTTAATTGATTTCGCACTTAATCGAAACTGTGACATTTATTGTAAACTTCCATCTAAAAAACTGTAAAACCACCCTTATTCAATTGCTTTTAACAAGAGCTTTAAAAAAACACTTGAATTTTTTATAAAATTGAAAAAATATTGAACTCACAACATTAGAAGTCGTCAATAGTGGTTCTCACAGTTGGCAGGTAGGTTTGAACAGCCAATCACATCAAACCTTCCTGTCCTGTTTTTTTTCAACTAAAACCTACTCGGAAAACTCGGTAGGTTTGGCCAAGAAGTGAAGGTATAATGTTATTGGTGCAAACGACCAGGAAAAGGTTTGATTTGATTGGTTGATTCAAGCAGAAATATTTGTTCAGGGCTCCATTTCCCAGTTTTGACGACGTCTGGACGACCCAGGTAGCGGTGGGAGACTATCGCGCAGTAGAACATATCGTCTTCGTTTTCGTCGCTCTTGCTTCCCTGGCCACAAAGCAGATAGCTTAGAGCTGAGTGCTGTAGGTGCAGCAGCAGCGCTGCTCGTAGAGATCGCCCCATTCTCACCTTCAGCGCTCACTTACCAATGAAGTCACTGGCTGCAACTGTCAGTACGCTGCTCACAGTTGAACAATGAAGGTTTGATTTGATTGGCTTACGAAACCTTCGTACCTTCTAAGCGTGAGAATCACTAATGTTAGCAGCAGTTAGATCTTTTTTCTTTTGACGGCTCGCCAGAATTTGTTTTTATCCAATCACAATGCGGACGATTGACCACCCCATTCAGCTGTCCGCAGCAGCAAAAGCTTTTTTTCTGTGGTGATGCCACGCCACAGTACTAGACAGCTTACTCTTCGAGAGCTGCACATCGTCGTCGAAGAAAGGAGCGCTTCGTCGGTCCTACGGTATCTTGTTGATGCGGACGACTCAAGTGAAGTCGAGCTGGCCCTATCCTACGCACAACCCTAAGAGAACGTGCTAGATCTCGGTATGTCGACAGACCAACTAGCTACAGGCGTCGAAAGGACCACTGGAAGTCTTTACTATTTGATACGGAGTGTCTGAATGCTGATGAATTTCTTGAACACTTTCGCCTAGAGAGAGAGGCATTCTTCCGCCTCGTCGACTTGGTAAAGAATGATCCTGTCCTCATATCCAGAAGGAATTGCTCATTTCGTGGGTCTGCTGAGCTTCACCTCATGATATTGCTGAAGTGTCTAGGAAGTTATGGCAATGACAACACCTGGTCTAAGCATGGAGTCTTTTTCGGTCTTGGCAAAGGTACTATCGGAAGATATCTACGTCGTGCAAGTAAGGCGGTACTGGCATTGGAGAGTAGCACAATTGCATGGCCAGACCAAATGGAACGTACTCAAATTTCGCGGCGAATTCATCGTTCATATGGTTTTGTTAATTGCATTGGAGTAGCTGATGGTACACGTTTTCCTCTAGCGTTCAAACCACAAACGAAAGGAGAGGCGTACTACACTAGGAAATCTCCTATGCGATCAACGGGCTTATAATTTGCGATGATATTGCCAGGGTACGACACATTGTTGTGGGGTGGCCCGGCACAGTGCACGACAACCGTGTCTGGAGAAATAGCCCGCCAAATCGAAGTAAGAGTACGTATTTCAGACCCAGAGAGTATATACTTGGAGACTCAGCATTTCAACCATCACAAACAATGATTCCAGCCTTCAAAAAGCCAGTCGGCTGTATTATGAGTGGAGAACAAACATATTTCAACTGCAAATTGGCGTCGATAAGAGTTAAGTCGAAGCATTGCATAGGCTTGTTGAAGACAAGGTTTCAATACCTTAAGGGCATTCGTTCGAAGATGAAAAAGAAACGACATCTACGCAAAGTAATTCGGCATATTACTCGTGCATGTATACTGCACAACCTACTCATTAGTGAGCCAGCTCCCGACGAATGGCAGGTGGATATACAAGCGAATGGTAGGAGTGACTTGGATCTTTCAGCGGACGATGAGCTGAGCATGCCGGTAATTAACGCATCTGACGGAGAAGGGCAACGGCATCAGCTCCTAGCGTACTTACTCGAGCTTCGTGGATAGCTGCCATCGGAAGAGGTAATGCCAGATCGATATCTTCCTGTGAGACCCCTTCCTGTTCAAGCTTTGTTCGCTCTCGAAGCAATGTGACGAGACGCTGTATACGCCAATGTTCAGCCTCTTCCCGCAATTTTTGCGCATGCGCATTTGACTCTGCAATACGAGCCTCTGCCTCTTCAACCTTCATTACCCTCTGTTTGCGTAGGGTCAGCTCTTCACTTTGAATAATTAGCTTTTTCTGCTCAATATATTATTTGCTGACTGAGCTGTTTCTCCTTGAGTGACACGAGGGCTGAGTGGTCAGCAGTAAAAACACGCCTATTCTTTGAGCTGGTGTTTGCGTTTACGATGCACGCCAGTGCACCCCCTTTTCGTTTATGAACCATTCTTTGAGCTATTCCGGTTGTTGCTGCGGGGGCGGGGCTTGTATTTTTCATGGTGCTTGTGAGGTTCTGCTCGCGTTGCTGTCGGGGGCTAATTAGAGCGCTGTCACATAAATCAGTACTGCCACCAGCTCTGGTTGATTCTACGACTTCCTCCGAAGAAGAGCTATCGCTATCGCGATCGCTGTATGTGAATCCTTCTTGAGTATTCAAAAGTAGCGGGTGTGTACTAGGATTATCGTCCATAACGGGCTGCAGCTCGTAAGAACTTGGGCATCTTTGTAGTATTATTGCTCGTAAATCCCTCTCCGAACCCACACCTTGGTTAGTGTTGGCTAACCAGTCAGAAGCCAAACGGAAGCTGGTCTCAAGGCCGAGGATCTTGTTCATCACGTGCTTCGGTGTTCTTACAGTGGACACCCCACTGTCTACGATAGCATCCACAGCCTCAGTTGCTAGCGTTTGCTTGGTCTCACCACTTTGCCCTCTCCTCCTGTGTAGCGGTTGTAGTTGTTTCTGTCCGTTAGCCACTTAATCAATACACTTAGAGAGCTGACGCTTGAATCTGGGCCATCATTGTGCCACGGAACCCTCTTCTTAGAGGACTGATCTAGCCTACGGGCCTTTACAACAGCATGATGACAACGTTTTCCGCAGACGCTACTGTCGAACGATTCCTCGGCCCCGAACGTTGTGAGCATTGCAGCCAAGCAACTGCGATGCATGCTGTGCTCACATCCGTCATTCCCACACGATAGTAATGCCGATTCGTCAGTTGTAGCCGCAACGCGACTGCATGCCTTCCACTTGCACGGCGCCATTTAGATCTGCGAGTGGATCTGCGACTGTTCTCCTGTCGCAGATCGGCGAAAACAAATGTAGCTGCTGCTACCCGACTTGCGCGATTTATGATTCTGGACATTAATTTGTTTTCACCCAATCGGAGCGTCGGAAAAAAGTTTGACTTGCTGCGGCAGAAAAAAACTAACTGCTGCGAACATTGACTACCCCTATTCCTAAACGTATCGTAATTTCGAGGGCCCATAAATGGAGGTAATATTTTTGAGCGACCACAACTTCTTCAGTTTTAAGCATTCTGTAGCTCAACAGATGCCCCGCTTTCGTTTAGAGTGCGCAAATCGCGATTTGTACTTAGGTTCGAAAGTATCATTTGTTTTGGGTAATTAATATTATTAATAATTACTAGTCTAGCGGATGCGCCCGAATATAAGCCCCCTTCCGAATAGTGTCCTATGGAGTGCTACATGCCTGCACTATTAAATACAAGCCTCTCCCGAAAAGAGTCCTTTTACAAACGACCAAACCTGTCATTACAAACTTACTAACCATTCATTATACAGAGATAAAAAATCCCGGAAAAAAAGTTGCCCCCACTTTTGGTCTGGAAAGGAAAATATTCATTTCGTCTTTTGAAAACAAAGTCAGGGCCACTTTTCGTCGCACACCAACCCCAAGCTTGGGCTGATAGCGAGCTGCTCAAGAAGTGGATTGATGTGGCTATTCCATTTGTGATGAACGGTGAACGTAAATGCTTGGTTTGGGACAGCATGGGAGCCCCCATATCGAAGGCTGTGAAAGCTAGGTGCTCTTCGACAAGTGCCCGATGTGTGTTGTACCTGGTGGCCTCACGCCTTACTTGCAAGCTGTTGATATTGGAATCTATAAGAGTTTCAAAGACCTGCTGTACATAGTAATTAAAGCTTAGAAAGAGTCAGACCAATAAAGTCCTCACCCGTATAAAGTCCTCTCTGTCACTTTCGAGTGGCACTATTAAATATAGTCCGGACTCTAATAGGGCGCATCCGTTACTGTAGTAGTTATGTTAGTAACTTCACCAGAAACAAATTAACATTTACATTTAACGTTTATGTAATAAGATATGACCCGCATCGTAAGTGCCGTTGGAACGGAAAACTGGGACTGTGGCCACTGACGGAGAAAAACATCGCCTAGTGAAGCAGCTGTAACCGCCCCAAAGGAGCTGTGTGCACATGCAATATAGAAGTGGTGAATCGAGCCGTTTACAAGGACTTTCTTATCCGATTGGTTATTCCTGCTATTAAGAAGCATTGGCCTTATAGAGACCGACGGCGCCCAATCCTCATCCAACAGGATAGCGCTAAGCCCCACGTGTCTTCCCTGGACCCTGACATTGTTGCTGCGGGGTGTGAAGATGGGTGGTGCATCCATCTACTGTGTCAGCCTACCAACTCGCCGGACCGTACCGTACTGGGCCTTGGCCTCTTTAATACAATCAAATCATCCAAAACCGCATGCCCATCCATGGAATCGACAATCTCATCTAGGCTGTTTAAGATGCGTACGAAGACATGAGTGCCGACACACTGGGCAGCATATTGCTGACTTTACAGAGCTGTATGATATGCGTGCTTCAACAACAGGGTGGGAATCAATATACCTTGCTACACCTAGGAAAAGACAAGCTGTGGAGGAAAGGTCTTCTTTCTCGAGTACTAGAATGCAAAAGTATCTTGTACGACAGAGCCAAGACAAAGCTTAGTGAGGCTGGCCGTCCAAGTCTCATCTTCTTTGAGTCTAAAATTAAGTAATACATGTTAAAGATGATCTGATTGATTTAACAAAACAAAACTAGTTGCTTTGAACCAATGTTTTTTATATACCATCCTGTAGCATACTATCCATCGTTTCGGACCAGATGTAGTACTAGCTCAGTGCAGTGTATTTAGTTAATAATTCGCTACATAAAAATGCGATAACGTGCAAATGAATTGACATTATACTTCAGCTACTGGGTGTCTCGGGAATCCTTTTCAAAGTTGCAAACAACGCACTCTAAATCAATTCAAGCCCACACCGGCATGGTTCATTAAAAAAAATGTGGCATTTTTCACTGGCGGTGATATAACCTTCACGAAAGTCGGTTAACCACAACGTTCAGTGTTGTTTTAGAGACCCCGTGACTCCAACGTCTAGAAGCTGGCAAACGGCCGTGCGGCTTGTAGGCAGTGGGCACATGGTGGCGTGTGCCTCCCGTATATATATATCCTCATTTCCCTCTTTCGACACGTGGCAATCGAAATTGTAGGCAAGAAGGACAGAAGGTGCGTCTATTTCGAACCTTAGAAGCTCGTTAACATACAAACTATGCTATCCACCCAGCCGTTTTCTTAAGCCAGTAGACGTGACCTTGGTCCTACGAGTAAGTCTGCAGCTCGTCCTTCTCAATGGACCCACCAGGCTTTCCTTTGACGATAAATATAATTAGTCATTTCTTACCTAAAAAGCAAGCAAGTTAAATTAAAAAAAATCACGTACCGTCGGCTCGAATTGACACCACCGCGGTTAGTCTTGCAGATTGTTTCTCGGTACACTTGACCTTGGTGGAGCCTTGCGAGCTCTTTTAGCTAAACTGCATTTTGATAGAGTGTCGAAATAAATTGCGGTCTCGTCCACGTTGTAGATGGTGAAGTGTGAAAGACGGCTTTCGTGTTTTTCCCAAAACGCTGTCGCGAATTTTACTCACGTTTCCTCTAAATCAACCGCTGGCTTCTTCGTGTGCTGAGCTACCTGAACTGTACAACCATGACTAAAAATCGCTGTAAATGTTATCAAAAACATTATATATAATGTAGATTACATCAACAAAACACACCGTTTGGAAAAACGCTGAAGCAAGCGCATGATTACATTGTCAGCAGAGATGATAGTCTTCTTACCCGTCACCTAATTGTTAACCAGCGTATGTGGCTTGGTTTTGTGTACTCTAGCATCATGGTAGTGTGGCCTTCATAAAGGCCAGGGGCCCGTGGGAGAACGGAATTAGCTCCTTTCAGCCCTACCCTTTTAGCAGCTTGCTTGTTTGGGCTTCTTCAAAACTGAAAACGACTGCTTGCTGGGCTACCCAATCTTGTACGGTGCGCTACGGGTAGATCAGGAAGTCGGCGGAAGACGTCGCGCCAATTTCAAACACAAGGTGAATCGCATCACGTTTCTCACGGGTCGTATACGTGCGCTGCTTTGAGGGCCTTGTTGCGGTTGGCATTGGAAAATGAAAAGTGAGCGCGAAGACCAGACCACGCGTCGCACACTTCGCGCCAAAACGCTTTGTTTACAAACCAGTCACTAAAATTGAAAATACGATTGAGTAATTATAAAATATGCAGTTCTTCAGTTGGTCTACGATTAAAGTTATTCTGATTTAGGATATAATTTCATATGATGGATTGCGTTGTGGCGGATTGTATAGTTACGGGGCTTTTACCGATGTTGTCTGTAGCTACCAAAGAGCGCATCTAGGAGGAGAAAAAAACACCACTAATGTATCAGCGCACTCGGGGAGCTCGGTTGTGCTATCAAAAGGGGTATGACGATAAGAACAAGCGAAAACAAAAAAAACACGAACCCAACCCAAGTGAAAGGGAAACTAATTTGAAACCGAACGTAGATCTGTCCGAAAATATAGGACCAGGTCGCACTTAGGTACGTTCCGAGATATACATCCACGTGATTCATCGTAAAGCTGGCTGCGCCGATATACAAATTTGTAGCTCAGGTCTTACCCCTGCATCAATTGGCGCTGTTTATTTAAATTTTGCGGCGAAACTGGTTTTAGTGTTTTTTTTATTGCGATAAAGCCGTTTTATTAATGTTGTTTGTTAGCAGCTTCACCGCAAAAAAACAGCGCTATGCAGACAGGAGATGACC